GTGCTTGCTGAACTCATGTTCTAAGAAAATGTTTCTCTCGAGAACAATGATCAATGATGCACACTTTCGTTCAGTGGTAGAACGGTCCATTGGCCGGTTTGAATAGGCCCGATGACAATACTGTACAACCACTGCTGCAAGGTTGTGCTGTTGATGATGTGTGCAGGCAGACAGTAATGATAACTCTTGTGATCTTCCCAACATTATGAAAATGACAATTGCATTTGAAGGATAGAATTTGAAGGAAACTGTAAGTTTTATTTTATTTGTTTTGTCAATGATATGCTGAGTCAGACAATTGTATTTAAACTGCAAAATAAAATATAAATATAAAAAATATAAATCTGTTTCCAATAAAAATATATACACATTCTAAAACATGTTTACCTTATAGGCAAAATTGCATACATTTTATTTGTTTAAAAAAAAAACTATCTGGCCAGTGAAAAAGAATGAGAATAACTCTTCTCTGACAACTTTCTCTACAATATTATTTTTACGGATATTTTGATATATTTATTCTAAAACCAGACAAGGATACTAAATGAGTTTTAGCAATGTAATGTGACTTCACAAATTATTTAAATCATTTATTGTCTGTATTTCATATTTTCCTAATGTCTTGTTAAACATGGTATCACATAGATGGGAAAATGCATATGGAAATAATATGCAGATGAGGATATGCATAGTAAAACTAGATGTTGTAAGATGGTCTGCAAAGATGCACATTCAGGATGAAATCTACGAAAGGTTTTATACATGAGACCCCTGATGGAACAACATGGAAACCCAACGTGTGCGCGTGTGTGTGTGTGTGTGTTTGTTCCCCGTATTCCCTACGTTATGGGGACCAAATGTCCACAGAAGAATAGTAATACCAGTAAATGTTATCCTTGTGGGGGGCACAAGCTTACAAATTATACAGAATGATCTTTTTTGAAAATCTAAAATGCAGAAAGTTTTCTGTGATGGGTAGGGTTAGTGTAGGGCGATAGAATATAACGTTTGTTGTAGATTATAAAAACCATTACATATATGCATTGTCCCTCCTAATAAATTGTGTGTGTGTCCATTTAGGTTTAGTATTTTAATTAGCATTGTGTTTTCATTTTGAAAATCAATTCCGCTCAATCCCACCAATTAAGAATTCCACAAAATCAGCAAAGAAATTGGAAACAACAAATTTATGTAAGTTTTCACTTGACCTTTTTTGAATAGCTTGTATAAGAGCTAATAGACACCAATATCTTCTACATAAAGTATACAATCCAAGTGTTGTTGTTTTTTTGTTTGTTATTTTTGTAAAAGGATGATAGGCGAGTTCTCGCCTGCAGTGCTTGAGAGCGCAAGCTGTATTTCTGTTACTGCACAGGCACATTCCTGTATTACTGAAGTTTGCCTCTCTGCGTAGCTGCAGAGGTGATGATTAGCACTGTAGATTAGCCTCGGGCTGCGATCTATTGGAAAATATTTTTCATCTGACGGTTTGATACATGTGTGTGCCTTTGCTTCTCTGTTCCCTTCTTTTGAGTTTCTTTTTGTTTCAGATCTTATATTCTGACATCTCTTTTGAAAACCATGCTGGTTCACAACTCAGAGACTATCTTGTCCGTCTTGAGGATCCCAATGAAAAATCTTGGCAAATGTGACCGTCAGCCATTTTATATCCCATCAAACAGGGTCCTACTGCTGTGCCTATAAAAGAGAAAGAGACTAGGCCTGCCGGCACTGGACGCCAGCCGTAGTTTCTCATCCCTTCCCCTTGTTTGTCCCGGGAACAGATCTGTCAGGGCCTTCCTGCTGCAGAGATAAACTAGTGCCTCGCTCTCTCCTCTAAAAATAAGCATTTGTTTATCGACATGTGTAGTGATTTCCAGCTCTCCTGTGCCGTATTGTGTGCCGAGCTGTCAAGAGACATTACTCTAAGGCCTGGCTCTCCTTTCAGCTCTGAGGAGCTCAGAGAGAGTGCAGCCGAGCAGGACAATGCTGAGTGCTGGGGGGCAACAGGCTAGCGAGCCTTCGCAGAAATCTGCTAAGATGTTGCCTTTTTACCTCGGCTGTGAGCCGCCTCCTTTATCGAGAGCTTGATACTTTAATGCATTCTTTAAAGTAGAAACTGTGGAAAGTGAAGGGCAATGCGGATATCGACTATCTGGGTCACCTATTCAAGGTACAGCGAGTGTCTAAATGGAGCCTGGCTTTGATTGAAAGCCGTATTTGATGAAAGGGGAAAAAACTCAGATCCATGCTGACCAGTTTTGACATATTTTAATTGCTGCCTTACTTCATTATTGTCATTAGTCTGGGTCTTAACAAACTGTCAGATTAGACGTTACACCTCCCATCTTTGTTTAGAAATGGCTCCGACAGAGATTTAGGGAGAATGCAGACCAGACCTCCAGCTTATCTGAGCTCTCATCCATCTTAGTTTGATGAGGAAAGCTCATGTTTGCGCTCTCCTTTAGTGGATCTGTGGTGGCTGTGTTTGACAAATGCCCCACACTCACTCTAAACATCCGTAATTTCAGCAGAGCGTGGTTACTTAAAGCAGGATTTCAGAGTCTTGTCTCGCTTGTGTTTCTGGTATCTCTCTTGCTTTAGTTAGGGCAGAGAATGCACTTAAGAGCTCACATCTCAATGTGGAAAACGAACCAGAATATCAGCCAGTACTTAAAGGATTAGTTCATCCCAAAATGAAAATTCTGTCAGCATTGTCAATTCAAATCCTTCTGACTTACTTTCCTTTCACAAAAGGTGAAATTTTGAACAATGCAGTTGGTCGTTGTTTTTCATGTCTACAATAGCTTTGTGTAAATACCAGAAAATTGAAGTTAATATTTACTGATAATGATCACATCCATTGTGCGACAGAATCTGTGAGTTAAACTGGAGAATTGGATCAGTCCAACTTCTTAATAAATTGTTCTTTTAACTGAATCAACCAATTTATTCAAAAGATAACTCAAGAATGATTTAATTGCATCACGACTTCTCTCATGAACATGCCAAGTTTGTCAAGATTATCAGTGAGCATTGATTTAAATTGTCAGTGTGTTCTTCACACAAAGCTACTGTATTACTTCAGAAGAGGAAATATAGTGCACAAATCGTATGAACTTTATTTATGCTTTTTTGACTTATTAAAGACTGACTGTCCCAGTCCTCATTTACTTTCATTATATATGAAACAAGCTAGAGACTCTTCAGAAAGAAGGTCATAAGGGGTTGATCTCATATTGTTGTTCCTTTGGACATTAGTAGCTTTTCAAAGGCTTACTCACTCTTGTACAACAAAGTGCAGTATACAGCAGGATTTATTTTTCCTAACCATTTTTCAGTGTCAAATAATTATACTTTCCTGCTATTTCCTGCATTTTTATTTTCTCACTGAAATGACTCTTGCCCAGAGTTCTGCATTTGATTGAGATACAGCTGCCTTTTTCAAAGACACTATTTTAACATAGCTTGGTGTGACAAACAACCTCAAATTAGACCCGGTTATGTATACAATGATATATATTAATTCGACTGTTTTTTTTAGAGGTTTGTAAACAAAGTTTTATCCAGATGATTTGAAACAAATCCATATGTTCTACCTCACTTTTTTGTCATAACACATGTCCACTTATGTTTTAGTGTTTACCTTCTTGACACAAATCTAGTTTGCAGGGCTTGAAATTACACTTTTCAGCTGTCTCAGAGTTAGGCACCTATTTGACCTCTTGGACCATTCTCTACTGCTGCAGCTGAAGTAACCTTACCAACTGACTCTGCTGCTGCCTCAGAACAATTACTCTCAGATCTCTAGGAAACCTTGGTTTGTGCAACTGTGGGTTTAACTCTCTTACCCCCATAACTTACAGCTGAAGAAATAACTCTTCCCTACGCCATCACATCCTCTTAATATGTCCTGTTTCTGGTGATCCATACCCATGGAGCCTGAGTCTGGCAAAGGCATGCTGAAGATGAGACGAGCAGATAGCTGCTGCTACTGCTGCAGCTTGCACACACACACACACTCTCTCTCTCTCTCTCTCTCTCTCTCTCTCTCTCTCTCTCTCTCTCTCTCTCTCTCTCTCTCTCTCTCTCTCTCTCTCTCTCTCTCTCTCTCTCTCTCTCTCTCTCTCTCTCTCTCTCTCTCTCTCTCTCTCTCTCTCTCTCTCTCTCCTCACCTCCCTCTACAGCCCACACGCGGTAAACATTGTGTGTTGACATATGGCCCTCACAGATTTAATCACCTTTATTACATTTTGTCCCTGAAAAAATATGAAGTGATACAAGTTTGCACCTTACGTTATGTGCTTGTGTGCGCGTGCGTATTTTCTTGGTGTGAAGGTCTCCAGAACAACAGATGCATAACCAAAAAGTGTTTATTTGGAAATACTTGCCTCTGCACATTTAATATTTATTGCATACATATTGAATATTTGAATCGCATCAAACATGTAAATTATTCACTCTTGTAATTACCTGTGTTTATTCACATAGTTACTACTCAACTGTTGATTGAAGCTAATTTGTTATTCATGGAGAAAAACTTGTGCCAAAGGACTCTCCTGATGATGTAACTTCATGTAATTACAGGCAGATGACAGTAATGCAAAATCCATTATGTCATTTAATCTCTTTAGAAGAATGCACTAGGGGCCATATGGGGCCTATCACTCAATCATACAGTGAAAGTGTCGCATTCAAGCCTGTGAATCCTTCTCAGTCCTTTGTGAGTGTTTGTGTGCTTACTCGCTTTTTAGTAATGTGCTTTTCTCCAATCTACGACCCTAGACTAATCCCATGATCCCCCTCTGCAACGCATTATGACGTTTTGATCACGTTTGATTCTCCCTCCCCCATCAACCCTCTCAAAATTTAGAGGAACGATAGCATCATTTAATTAAGTCCTGGAATACAGACTTTTCTCTAGTGTAAAACCAAATGTTCTTATTTTTTCATCAATCTTTTTCACTCCCATCCTTTTTCTTTGTGCATCCAACCTAAAGACGCTGCCTCCGGGAAAAGCAGGTAAAAAAGCCATCAAACCCGAAAGCACTTGACAGATTTGTGATCAGTGGCACAGTTCTCCTGAAATTGTCTAGTGGTGTATTTTTATTGTGGAAGTGAATGCTTACCCTTCAGAGAATAGCTTCATTGTGTGTGCCCCAATAGAAATTGCTGCTGGTTGTTGTGATTGTTTCTGTATTTTAGACTGAAGCGCCTGTGATCAGAAACTTAGAGAGCTTTCACTCCAAATTAAGAGAAGTAGGAAGGTCTGTTTTGTTGGTTGGTTTGTATTTTCTGCCCATTTGGTTGGAACTTTTTTTCCCCCACCTAAATCTCGTCTTCAATCTGTTGAGCTCAAGCAATTATCTCAAGTATTGCTCTCTAGACATTATTTCCCCTGTCTTGCCAAATGCTCCAAACCATCCTATGTTTCAATCTCAAACAAGCAATGATGCTTTCATCCATTTTCAATTTGGACCACAAACTTGAGGAAGTGCCACTAGTCCTCCCAGATCCCGACAAGACAAAACGAGCATCTTGGAAGCAATTGGCAAAACAAATAGCAGAGTTTGGACTAGGCCTTTGTTTACCATCTATTCCCTTGCTGTTAATGTGGGTTCTTCTTCTGTTATTGTTTCCCCTCTTCTTCATCCTGCATGGTCACATTGAGTGTATAGTCATGACATAAGGAACCATATTATCTAAACAATCTTTTTGAATGGTTTGAATGGTCAGCCCTGCTGAATAGACCTCTTTGTAGAAATTGTAAATAAAATCTGAACAGCCTGTGCTCTAGAAAGTTCTAGAAAGTTCTTTGTTTTTATCACTGCTGTCAATGTGCAATGCCCATTCAGTTCAGAGAGAAAGAGACTGGAGGCCTTCAGGCGCTTGGCTTTTTGAAGTGGAAGTGGATGAAAGACTCCGCCGTCATTTCAACTCATATTGTGGTTCCCATGCAGAGTTTAAAGTTCAGCGTCCTCAACTTTCACCAATGCCAGATGAAGTTTTCCTGCAGAGAAATGTGGATTTCCTCTCTCTATTTGTGCTCTTAGTTTTTCATTTATATGTTCCTCCCTCTACCTTAACCGCATCTCTTCCATCTCTTTGTATTACCCTCTTGTTATTATCATTGTCCCTCCCCTGTGGTGAGTATCCTTGTTAGGACAGATTTATATGTCTACTGAAGCTTGAATTAAAAGGCTCTAGGCAAACTCAAAAAGTGGATTTGTTAGCACAAAGCACTTACTCTCATAATCTACCAACACTGAGCTTTCAACTGCACTGTAAGGATTTTAAAACTTGGTCACTGTGACTGTTTTATTTCACCTTTGTCTTGTTGCAAAAAAAATGAATAAAAAATGCTTTGCCCAGACAAAGCCATAAAAGCCTTTTCGAAATGATTTCTAGCTTGTTTTCTCACCGGCCCCCGCCACTGACCTTGGCAAACGAGCTGGACTTCAATTTCGTTTGAAGTATGAATCCACCTTTACTGTGGTGCCCACTTGCTCCTAACTCATTACCTGACATGATGAATGGGGCCTGTTCCATAAAACTATGCCCAGCCCATGGTGGCATGGACACCTGGCACTGAGTAATGGCAGTTGCATGGGCAGACCTGCCAGGGTAGGTAGGAAAGGTGTGGTGGCTTAAGCATGGAGTTGGCTCTCGAATCTGCAGGGGAAAGAGGAAGGTTGTCCACTCCACCTGCCACATGGCCCCCAACCAGCCCCTGACTACACCATGTTTGGAGTGGAGAGAGCCTTTGTGTGATCCCATAATGGGCTGGTCTTGATTGCCAAGTTCAGCTAGCACATTTAGTGCTTCCCTCCATCATATCCCTACTGGCCTGTTTTATTTATTTTTTTAAATCAACTTTTAACTGAGAATTTTTTTAACAGTTAAAGGGATAGTTCACCCAAAAATGTAAATTCTGTTATAATGTATCATCCCTTATTCCAAACCTGTAATATGATGAAAATTAAGGTCTGAAAACACTTGACCTCATTGACTTTTGTTGTATGGACAAGGTTTGGAACAACATGAGGGTGAGTAAATGAAGACAGAATTTAGTTTTTGAGTGAACTATGCCTTTAAACGCCACCCAAAGCTTTGGGTTTTTAGATAAGTATGCGCAGATGTGTATGCACTGGTTTGTACTTGTGTATGAGTGTCATTAAGTGTTTCTTCTCCAGGCTTTATTGTTATAGGTGGAGGATCTCTTAAGCATGGGACTGGATCAGAAACTCAATGGTGTTACTATGACACCAGACAAGAAGTACCTGACTTCAGACCATCCTATGCTTTCTTCTTTATCAGTTTGATTTTTATTGTCTGATATTGTTGCCTGTTTTCTTTTTAACTATTTGCTGCACTCCTGTTTCTCCCCTGCATACGTTATTATGTCTTATATTTGTCTGCTGCTGTTGTGAATACCCCTGACTATCCCTCTTCCTTGTTCTCTCTTTGAACAGACAACCGTCGCACTGGTTTGGAAAGATCTCGTTCACGCCACAATGCAAACCCTATGGTCCGATGATTGCTTGCCGGCTAAGGACGTTTGCCAAGTGCCAAAGACCCAAGAGTGGGGACAATGCTGAGGAGGGCTGAACAGGGATGGAGAGAGAGCCCCTCGGCATTCACATACATACACACGCACTTGCATACAGAACACAGAACAAACTTCAAGATGTGCTTCACAGCTCCAGACACGGCATCGCAGGATCACACGACACTCATTTCTCTCTGAAGCCTTATTCTTGGTGTATTGGTCTGTTCAATTTGGCTGTGTTTGTTTGTTATTTTCACGATTACGCCTGCTCTGTTTATATCTCTCGATGCTAACTCCCCTGATCTATCTCATGTCCACCTCGCTATCTGCAAACAATCAATGATTGGCTACGGTTTGATCTCTCGCTATTGGATTTTTCGACACACAAACACGCTCTTGTTGACAAAAGGCCAAAAGCACCGGAAAGGACTGCGTGATTCTGTATGTATATCAGCAAAGGGACTTTATTTGCTGTGTAGATTGAACAAAACCTTGACTTGACTGAATCTGCCTGCCCCTTTTGTTTTTCTTGACAGATAAATTTAGATTTCCAGTCTGTAATACCCACCATCAGTCGTATAATCTCTGATCACCTCCTAGTTTCATATATTACAAATCCTATGTATGTAGAGACATGAAAAAGCTGCTGAAATTGGCTTCAGTGCTACCGTCTGTACATATTTGTGCTGTTTAAGAGCTGCCAGTGCCACAAGGTACCTGAGGTGGTTGAAAGATATTGCTCTTTATCTACGGTAAACACTTCAAACATTCATAGATGTTTCTCTTGCAGAGTCAAAGGTTTTATTAAGTGAATCTGCAGGTATGTGAAGCAAATACAAATCAAAGAGATGCCATTCATTTCAGTCTTCAAACATGTCACAGGTTTTCTTCGTGATTTATTTCTAAGTCACTGTGCTTTTAGCTTTTAGCCCTCTTGTAGAAGAGTATTTTAGTGAACTGTAGCTTAGGTTTTTTAAGATCCAGTGGTCATCTTTAAGAGCTCTTCCTTACTGACCTACCACATTTACCTCGCCAACTAAGCTCTATCTGATGTTTGAAAACTGTCCAAAACAGAAGGAGTGTTTATCAGATTTAGTACTCAAAGTTCGTCTTTTACAATTTGTAAAATATGTATTTATTCACAGTTTGCCAGATTTTGCCCGAAGCCTTTGATATGTGAACATTAACCCGATTCCAGTGAGGAGTTCTCTTGGATATGAGGATGTACAGCTGTACACAGTGACAGTGAGGTGATGTTCACAACATGATGGCTGTTGTCATGTGAAAACCATTAGTGAAATCTCTCCACCACCTTCCCTCATTGTTGCTCGTTGAGTAGTCATTTTCCATAATGTTTTCTGCCCCCCATGTCCATAACACCGCAGGCAACGGTATGTAAAACAGTATCTTATGGGTGACTGGAGCCATACTGACTCTCATACTGGTACATGCCACACAGAAATCATCTGCTTTTGTAAATTAAGGCAACGTGTTAAGTTTGCACACCCAATGCAAGTATATACAGTACAACTGTAGTGTGGTGAAGAACATCTCGCTGTTAGACAAACCACTTTTAGTCAAGCTTTCTCCTCACTTTTTTTTTTGTCATAAACTCTCTCAAGAGAGAGAGAGAGAGAGGGGGGGGGGTTGAGATGCAGCAAATCGCAATCCATTGATTTGCTTTTCTAATTAAAACTGCCCTTTGAATGGTTTCCAGCACCACGCAACAAAAGCTGCACTCGGCTCTCATGACTCACTGTTGGTTATTTTAAACTCATGTTAATGGTAATTACAGCATCCACACACTGTCAGTGCAGACACCTCCGACATACATTGTTATTTTCCAGTCAGACTCCAGTTACATATGTTATGTCACTGGCTCCAGATCATTTTTAATCTTTCCGGGCAAAAACATTTTTTTTTAGTAATCTTGATAAAGTTTTGATAAATGTGCCAAACTTTCACAACGCAAAAGTTACTATACTGAGATTTGATCCTATGATTATGATAATTAATGGAAGACGATTTTGTTCACATCACATTATTATTTTCTGTATGATGACAGTAAAGTGTCATCTTATACAAGACCGAATCTAGCAGCAATGCAGCCATTCAGTTAAGGCTTGGGGATGTCATAACTCTATAACGCTAATGTCAGATGTCTATGTCTATGAAAGATACTTCAAAATGATGTGTAATTTATAGATTTTTTTGTTTGGTTTTTGTCGAAAATGTTGTTTTATATCAGTGATCTTCCCCTCCGTCTGTGATATTGTGTTAGACTTGTGCTTTTCTATAGGCTGATATAAATGTGTCATTTGTATTTGATAGAGAATATATCCTAATGCAGGTTAGAGTCTGCAAGTGACTGACAGTGTAACATTTTAAGTCAGATCGAATACTTTAATTGGATGTTAGGCAGAGACCAGAAAGAAGCAAGAAAATATGAAGTCACTAGTGCCAATTTGTGTCCTCTGCTGTCTCATTTATCCACATTTGTTCGATATTCTCAGTTCAGACTGTATGATGGTGCACTTTAACTTGTTAAATATAGACCTGGAGCGATCTTTTAATTTGTGATTTCTTTACATATCATTGCCAAAATAGACTGCTTGCATGCGTGGTAACCATTCCTGACAAGTGATTCAATCTCCATTCTCTCAGAAGTTTCCCTTAGTTCTCTCTCATTCCCGCTCATTGTAATTGGCACTTGGAACAAGATCAAAGTTAAATGGGTAAGAACAACTGCAATTGTCTCAGGACATTGTTTTATCTTTAAGGTATTATAAGACTCCATAGCCCTGCCGCCTTTTTTTTCCTTGATATTGTTTTATTGTCTTATAAGCAATTTATATTTGTAACATCTTTAAGTTTATTTTTATCTGTGACAAAAAAAAGGTGAAAATGGTTATGCACACTGTACCCAAGTATGTAACAGAATATCATACTAAATAATAACCACTTTCTCAAAAAAAGAAAAGAATTAAGTGTCTCTTTTTTTAGTGTTATTTCCATAATGACTTTTGAATTATGTCTTCTCTTGATGCAGACTCACGCTGTGTCCTAACCAGCCCCTAAAGGAAAGATTTAGGGAAAGATTTCTCCTCCATGGAAATCTGAATGGTTTTGACCTAACTGAACTCACCATGGCGGCAAACATCAGGACATTCAGTCAGTCAGATGATTTCTATGCTCTTGTAGAGGAGAGTAGGCAACTGCAGACAGGCGAGGAGTCAGTAAGGAGTAATTTTCACTTCTCATAGTGGAATAAAAAAATACTTAAGCAAGCAGTGGGTATTCTTTGTTGCCAGTGAAGTGCATGCATTTGAAATGTAGCTGCTTTAACATAAATATTAATATTAAACTATACTGTAATACAGTGTACCTACTATTTGATTCCTTCCACATCGGTTTCCATCCATTTTTTAGTTGAATAAATGATTTCAAAGATGTGATTAAAATCATATATGCTATAAAGAGTTTTTGGCCGTTCACAGTTCACACATTATTCATATACATAAAAATGACATTAGAGGTACTACACTAACATTTTAGTCTATTAACTCAGGTGCCTGGCTCTGAAAACTGTAGCCGCCTTCACATCGATTTTGACATTTTATCAATAATACATAGTTCCCACATGACGTCACAACATACGGGCATTTGCCAACCCGACGCCATTTCTGTGGGCATGTTTCGGGAAGAACATTAGAAGAAGAAGCTGAAACGAGTTAATTTCGTGATAAAAAGTGAAAATGGTCATCTCCTGCTGGGTCAATGGATGTTCAAATCGTGCCGGAGGTTCAGTTAAATTTGGATTTTACAGTATAGCCGTCTTTAGACTTCATGAATGTGAGAAGACTAAGCTTTTGTCAGAACAACGACGGATGTTATGGCTGGCGAGGATAGTAAACAAGTTAACACTTTGCAGTTTGAATGATGTCCTATTAACATAATGACAAGGTATTAAAAACAACAGTTTCCACTGTTCGATCGCGCGCGCGACTCTCTCTTTCTCTCTCTCTCTCACACACACACACACTCCAGCATTGGAATCTCAGATTATGTCCCTAAAGAACCCGCGTATAAAGTAGTTCCGCATTACATTAATTAATTTGCACGCGAGTTTTATTTATTTTTATAACGTGTACATTCATGCACTGAACCGTGACGCCCGTACAGTTTCGGTTCAATACGAATACATGTACCGTTCCAACCCTATTCTTCAGTGTACAAATAAGTACATGCATATTACAGAATACACCGATGACTGTTATAAGGGGAATTAAGTTGTGAAGGCTATGGCTATGACAGATAGTCTAGCATCACGCTACATACATTCGCTATGATGACTACTTTTCCATTGATTGCACTTGAGCAAACGTCACCAACCCAACCCTCGACAAACTGATTGTAAACCTCCAGTGATTTCCAGGCTCGGAATTGCTCACATGTGTATAAAATACCAGATAATCGTAACGTTAAATATGATAATACTGTATGAGGCAAAGATGCATAATCATTGCTCGGTGCTTCCTCCACAGCATTTATGACTGAAATTTTCGCATTGTACCTCTCTCTGTCTTGTGTTAATAGAGTCTCTTTATAATCTCTCCCACTTTGTCTCTTCATGATTTTCGGAACATTATAAACCGAAAGAAATATTCGAAATTTGCTAGTAAAACTTTGTAAACAGAGCAGCTTATGCCCTCAAAGATGGCGTCTCCGGGGAGGTCACGTGACATTAATTGGCCTGTGGGAACTATGTATTGATTCTATGCAGAACTTATCCATTGTGCTAGATCAGCCCACAGAAAAATCTCATTGGTACAAAATGTGTCAATGTATGTATATTAAATATGTCCTGAGTCTTCTGACCGACTGTAATCACACCGTGCAGAATATTCATTTTGTAACGTTAACTATTTTGACGCTATTCGCTAGTGTAGACTAGACTGATCTCCAGCAGGTTTGGTTACAAATGACATTAGAAATACCTGTAAAAAACACCAGCTCTGCTTTATCTCTATTATTCTGTAATAATTCAGTGGTACTTTGATGTAAATTACACTAAAGACACAAACAGGAACTGGTTTTATTTTCTTTTTGTCAAATGAATAGCATTTATTCAGTTACTGAATTGATGGGTTTTGTGAAGTAAAACTACTGTCAGGAGGAGATAACAGCACTGTGTCGTTTGTTTGAAGTTCTCTATTGTATTGTTTGCTCTCTGTCTTTCCTTCTCTTCACAGTAAGCGCACACGTGTTATTTTGCCGCTTGAATCTGACTGAATTATGCTGAAAATCATCGTTTACAAAGCTAAATATAAACTGCTTTACAATCTGCTGCATTACTTTCATTGTTCTTTTGACGGCTGACATTTGGTTCCACTGTGGTTAGAGATGGAGAAGGCAATGATGCCCCTTTGTTATTTCTCCATCTGTCTGTCAGCAATCCTCACTGTCTCTCTGTCAGTCTGTCTCTTAGAGAATAGAAAGACACTTTAGTTTTTTCATATTCTGATCTTTGAGCGTCTCTGGCCGTGTTCAGAGTGTACGTCTGCCACTGGGGAGCCGTCCTCTGGTTACCACTGAAATGGAATGGTTGAAATGTTCCTGTCCTTACCTCTCTCTTGCTGTCCTACTCTGCAGTGTGGCACGTGTGCAGGCGTGCATGCATGTTTCTGTCCGTTCATCTTTACATCTGTGCCTTTGCAGGGAGATACGTTAGGACACGGCCACATTCTTACTGGCAGACCAGGCCGTGCGCATTTTGTTTGTTAGAGTAAGTGATCACCGACGCTTCTGTTCAGTGTCTGCTCGCTAAATCCCTGACACAGATGGAGGCTTAAAAAAAAAAAAAAAAAAAACTAAAATAAGATGCAATGGCCGACAAGTGATCTGGCACAGTAGTGTTTTCTGTTTTGAGCACTGATGCATTTGTAGTAGTGAGCCGGTCACTGAAGAGAGGCTAATTTTACAAGGCGCTCTGTTTTGTGCAGGCGTCGGGCTCGTTTCTCAGTCTCCTCGGCTTTGAAAGCTCATTAGATTATCAAGTTATCAGTTGTCCTGTTGCGTTTTCTGGCACAAATGCTCATTCCCTAATTCCTCGAGGTGAAGGATGGAGGCCTGACATGTGTTGAAAAAGAGAGGACTGCAGATTGGAATCATGGAACATAATGAGAGCACGGGCTGATGATTTTTTATTTTTTTTATTCGTTGTGTGTGTAATATATCCTCCTTATTATTTCCCACTCACATAAGTAGCCCTGTCGGAGATCTGAAAGATGAACCGAGACCACACACACATACACACTTCATGTGTTTTCGCTCTCACGCCGTGCTCCATTTCTTTTTAAACCCAGGGCGTGTGTACAGCCACCCACACCAATTTACACTCTGATGGATTGGCCTTCAACGGGAATACAACATAATAATGATGTATTTTGCATCCTGAAGTACGGAAACTAAGATGAAATACAGAGTTGGTTGTCTGTGCCCATTCTGTCTGCCACCGCTCTTAACTTTGTGTGTGTGTGTGTGTGTGTGTGTATGTGTGTGTGTGTGTGTGTGCGTGCGTGTGTGCGTGTGTGTGTGTTTGTTTGTGTGTGTGTTCATTTTTATGAATCGTTGCAGTGCACCATGTTGGCTTGAAGCACAAGTGTTCCAGATCTGAATCGTTTCATAATCATATTGCTGACACATCCATCTCCCCAGCCCTGTGCAAGCGTCTGTCTGTCATTGTGTGTATCTGTGTGAGAGTGCACTCTTGAGTGTCCTAGCCTATTTTTGTGCCCTGCACTGTAAAAAAAAAATTGAATTGTTGAGAAAAGTAAAAAAAAAAAAAAAACTACATTAGAAACCCCACAAAGATTGCAATATCCGAAATCCTTGTCCTTGTGGGGAATTTGTTTGGTCTCCATGAGGAAAGCAGCTTATAAATCATACTAAGTGATGTTTTTTGAAAATGTAAAAATGCAGAAATTTTTCTGTGATAGGTTTAGGGGTAGGGTTAGTGTAAGGGGATGGAATATACAGTTTGTACAGTATAAAAACCATTACGTCTATGAAGTCCCCATAGAACGTGAGTGTGTGTGTGTGTGTGTGTGTGTGTAACATCCACTAATCTGAAAGTCCTGCTGCTTCCTGTCCATTCTCTGTCGTCTGTCCATCCAGTCACTCCTTTCCTTTTGAAGCCATCATTCTCGTTCAATGTGATTCAGAGCTCTGTGACATCCTGTCTGTGTTCTGAGGCTTTCCCAGAGGCAAGTGGTCACCCAGAGAGCATTCCAAGGCCGTAGGGCTCATCCTGTGTGTGGACAGGTCTTTATAAAGAAGAGCTATCTGTCAGTGCAATCACTGTTTTCTGTGTTCGTTCTCGGCAAGGCCACAGCATCACTGACCTGCATGGAAGGAGAGAGTATATGGAGGTGGACAGAAAAAGAAAAAAAGGACAGAAGTGACTTTATCACAGACACGATACAGATATCTCCTATAGCTTTAGGTCATTGATTATATGGTACAAGAATAGCGTGTTCTCATAAAGCAAGAGAAAACCTCACACAAAGAGCTTATAAGTCAGTGCTGCTTAAAGAGACCTTATTTAAATAAATATTTGAAGAAATACTCCATGTTCAGTATATATGCAACAGAATTTTTTGCATAATTTTGATTACCTTTAAAAATAATTTCAGTTCGTTAATTGAAATGATTTGTTATTTTAAAGAAGTCATTCACGTAACTCATTTTACAATGGAAGTAAAGCATGCAGGTGGTTTTTAAAAGCCGAAATGTGGAGCTTACTTTTTTGTTGAAGCACCTAAATAATTTTTTCAGCTAAAATCTGTTTATTATTTCAGTGTTAAAGTGATCTAAACCATTATTTTTAGATATAAATACTTTACAAGTTATGCATTAGCAATGTAATTCATTTGAGTGGAGTTTTACATCTGGCACTGGTATCCCTGATGTATAACGCAAAAGTTACTAGCT